GAGTTCTATATCCAAACACAATACAATATATATATATATATATATATATATATATATAATGTATGTAGAGAATATCCGAAATTTAAAATCTTAAATTCGAAATCCAAAATCTAACCTCACCCATTTGAACTCGAAACAAATATTTTCAAAACCCTACCGGTATATATATATACCAACAAAGGCATCTTTGTTCTTCCAACACATGTATGTACCCATCATGTTGAATTCATGATACGCATCATCGAGTAAGCCTTCATGATTTTCATGCTTTCAGGTTTCCTTTCGATATACTCTCTCTTTTTAATTATATATGATATTTTAGAATACAATTTAAATATATATGCTTAGGTTTTTTTTAATATATGTACTTAAGGTTAAAACGTCATCTCAATTTAAACGGAGGGATACTATCTAAAACTTTGAATTAAGATCCTTTATTTTTTGTTAAAGAGGAATTAGCTTTTTTTTTTGGTAAAATCATATAAAAATTTAGCAAATGATAATCTTGTGTGTTTTTCATCGGTAATACAGTTTAGTTAAAAAAATATTAAATAATTAGGGATAAAGTAAACTGAATAAAAGTTATAGAAATGGTATGAATATAAACGATTAATATTTGATAATAAATCTTGATAACTGTAATAATAACAATATATTGTTAATGTGCTAGAAATTCAGCTTAAAGTTTGTTATGCAAAGTGGGAAAACTATAATCGTATCCAATATATTCAGTTTGAAATTTTTAAATGGGGCATTATAAAAAATATTCTCCATTTGCTATTTTAATTTTAACACATCCCATTTTTCAGTTGTGTTCCTGTGATCTATGTAATTCGAAATATAGTATAATCACATGTTGATCTCATTGGTCACAACGTTAAATTTATAATGTTTTAATCAAATGATTAGTGAGATATATAAGAGATGAATATAATGAATTAGTGTGATCACTATAAATTTAATGTTATGATTATTAAGGCCAAGATGTGATCAGACTATAGTAAAAAAAATATTTTTATATAATGTCTTTTTAAATTCAAACTCAAATCTAACTAGATAATTAATGGAATGCTTTTTGAAAATCATATGTATTAGTTTATGTATATTTCCGTTTGAATATAGATGTTGGTTTAAAAACATGGAAAACTACAATGGGCATGGCAATGGCATGTATTCGTAGATAAGTTTTGTCTTTTTGCGATTGATTCAGTTGTCTCAAGCATGGAAGCAGAGCAAAGGACATCAATGGCGGCAAAACCCCATCCACATATATCATCAATTGCACCTCTCTCTTCTCTCTCTCTCTCTATAAATATCTTACCAGGAAAGCAACATTTACTCAATTGGTTCAAAGTTTTCACCAACTTAAAAAATTATAAAAAAAACCCTAAAAGACCCACAAATTAACTCCACGGTCCGAAGAGATATATATATATATATATATATATAGAGGGAGAGAGAGATGAAGAAGGGAACAAATTCTCAGTCTCAGGAAAATTAAAAGTGTTAGATCTCAGATTTTCAGTACTCCATGGATGTGCTCTGTTTTTCCGACAAGACAACAGGGTATAGAACTGATCTTCAAATGGGTTTGAATCTGCAACATAAAGAACCCTCTTTCGGTCACAGAGATATGGAGATTCATCATTTCTCGAGTGAGCCCTTGTCCTCTGATCTTTATGACCCTTTTTTTTTCTTGGATTCTTGTCTGAATTCAACCACAGAATCTTGAATTCTTTCTCCCTTTTGTTCATGGATTATGCAGAGGCTGGAGCTTTGGGTTATTGTTACCCTTTTACGCATGAGCAGATGAAGGAACTGGAGAGACAAGCGATGATATACAAATACATGATGGCATCTATCCCTGTCCCCTTTGATCTCCTTATCGCATCCACGTCCTCTTCCTGTAATAATCTCTTCCTGTTTCCCATCTCCTCTTTGTCTTTTTTCTTTTTCAAACCGAGCCTCATCTGAGATTCTTTCTTGTGGTGACATGACCATTGACTGAAACAGATAATCCGAAAGTGACCGGAGATTCAGAGCCGGGAAGATGTCGGAGAACGGACGGGAAGAAGTGGAGGTGTTCAAGAGACGTAGTTCCTAATCACAAGTACTGTGAGCGACACTTGCACAGAGGACGCCCTCGTTCAAGAAAGCATGTGGAACCTTCCCGTCGTCGTCTTCCTTATGCTCGTGGCAATAACAATGGAAGTTCAGACAAAACCAGAGATTCTGGAGCTGCTCCGCGCCTGTCTCTTAACTCCATCGGCAACCACTCATCGTACGGAGTAGAACCCAGGTTTGATTTCTAGGAACTATATTTTTTTTGGTTCTCTGTCTCTCGAGTTGGTTTAGATGAGTGTTTGTTTGCAAAAAAACAGAGGAAGCTTTCTGTGGGACACGAAGAAAGGAGATATCTTTCCCATGGAGACAGAGACTGAGCAGAACAGCAAGTATCTGAATTTCATCGATGTCTGGTCTGAAGGAGTAGCCGCGCCTGATGAACAGCACTGTTCAACTCCTGTTTTCAGATCCTCCGTCTCCACCAACCGGGATCCCTCACTAACCTCGCTTGAATTGTCAATGGGAGGCAACAATCTGGTGGATGACGAAATGGGTTGGATCCAAATGGGCTTAGGAGTCACTGGGTACGGTGGTTCTTCGACGGAGATTCCCAGCTGGCTTACTCCGGCGGCGACCCCCGGCGGACCACTGGCGGAGATTCTGAGACCGACCCCGATTTTCACCTCCTCCGTTGGAGACGGTGAATCATGCTACTGCTTGACTGCGACGGCGACGAGCTCGTCGACCTCTGGAGCGATGAAGAGGACGACTGCTTCACTGTCCGATGGAAGCAGCCAGAGTTAGGCTCATGAAATCTCTGTTCCTTCGTTTTGCTTCTCGACTCTGTCTGTAAGGAAATTATCGTTCGGAGGTTTATCTAATTAGGTTTTCCCACGCATCGAACATCGATCCCAGGCCTCGAGAATACTCAGATCGTTCATTCATGAATTCACGTTGGTATTATCAAAAATCGTGTTTTATCAATGTGCTCTTCTTGTATCTAAGGTACCTGCGAACAAACTATGCCCCTTTCTTTAGAATGTCGAAATTTCAGGGAAATCATCGTCCTTTTAGCATCGAATTTCCATAACTCAGAGTTTTCTGCTCAGAATCTGCGTGAAAACTGATGATGTGCATTTGGGTCAATATCAATCTATAGTTTTACTTTTCCACCAAATTGCTCATAATTTGGTGATCGACTCGGTTCATATCTGATGTTCTGCATCCCTTTTTCGTCGGGTGGAATCTTCTGCTTCGTGTACGGAAGCCCTTTCGAGTGTAAGGTAGAAGATAAGGGTAGTTTCGTAATTCTGTATTTTTCCACTTTCCCTTTCTTTTTTTTTTTTAAATAAAAAACAAATCACGCCATTTTGTATCATTCCATCCTGTGAGTTGGGCTTTCCATAAGCCCATCTATATTCATATCTTAAAAATTGAATTGAGAGCCGTGGGCTGATGTCGATGTGGGATTGGGAGTCATTTTGTCGTGATAAGCTACATCTACGGTCCAAATGTTGATAATTGTAATTTTTTTTTTTTGGTTTGATAAAGGTGAGGTGATGTCCACACATGGGTTCGAACCGTGAACGGGCTTGATAAGTGTTATTATACAGCAGGGCATCTGAATCACCAAGCTTTTTTCTCCACGAAAGTCTTTAAAAAAACGCAGAGGATATCCATCAAGATCTTGAACATGCGTCTGATCCTTTGGTCTTATATTGTCTCTGACGCAGAAAGTTCTTCTGGCAATACACACAATCTTCACGGATGTTCGCTTAGAGTAATGTCGCATATTGCTTCCTCGTATCTGCGAAACATGGAATCTGCAGAGGAAAATAAAAGGCTGAAAACAATATGGCATGATAAAGCAGTAATGGAAAGCAAAAGATTTAAGCACACATATATAAAGGACCCATCATTACCACAAAAAAAAAAAATCTATCATGCGAGCTGAATCATATCCATGAATTATTAAAGAAGTTAACCTTTCTTTTTCTTACATGGAAAAGATCTCTCTTTTCTCCCGCCTTTTCCTGCTTGGACCTCATCTCGTTTCTATCAGTTAATCTCACCTTAATCTTTTTTCAATGACCACATTCAGAGAAAAGATAAATATCCAAAGGCTTCTGATCTTCTTCTTATTGCCTTTTTGGCTTAAAGATGGTAACTTCCAGTCTCGTATGGACACCTATAATCTTTCTGTACAAGATTTACTACTAATTCAGTACATAAACCCTACATACGGTATCACTAGATTCACTACAGACATGAACCCTGTATATGTCTTGTTTTGAGGAATCTATCTTTATATAGTTGTCGAACACCGAGTTCCTTGAATCGAAGCCAATGGAGCAGTAGAAATGTACGGTCCAAAAGCCACGAGTGCAACGCAGTCCACGTTGAAACGATACGCACCAGAAACCCAAGTCCCAACTCTCCACCTTAGCTTCCCGTCCAACTTCAGACCCATTACTAACTTACCGTTTGTCCGATCATGACCGACCTGGTAACCGAAAGACGGTGCAACAGGGAGTCCATTCCCTTCAAGAAACGCTGTCAGAAGATTGCTCTCTTCGTGGGATTGGTAGAACGGCGGTAGCAAAGTCTCGGGCGTTATCTGCTGCCCTCTGTATGCAGCGTAAACGAGTAACCTGTCGTAGTAAATGCCGACTTTTTTGTTGGGGTTCTTGGAGAAGAGGGTGAGTTGGATGGAGGAGTTGAGGAGGTGAGTGGGTGCGGAGAGGTTGAGTTGGTAAATATCGGCTTGCGTGAGGGAGAAGTTAGGTTTAGTGGGGTGAAGGGTGAGCCAGAGGAGGAAGATGATGAAGAGGAGAGTGGTGAAGAGCGTGGAGAACGTGAAGAAGAGTTTCTTGTGGCGTTTCTCGATGCTAAGCCCTTTCTTTGCGCAGTGTTTTGGCGAAGTTTCTGAGATTAGAGACATTTGCAGAAGAAGAAGAAGAAGAAGAAGAAGAAGAAGAAGAGATGGCGATGAAGAGAAATGAAGGAAGGGTGAGGGATTAATAAAGAGAAGGGAGGTGGAAATAGAAAGCAAAGGGGACAATGTTTTTTCTTTCCCTTCGGCTCTTTCTAATGCTTTTGACTTTGGTGCTGCTCTTGCTTGAGGTGGTGGGAAATTGCTTTGGTTACGAATCCGACCGTTGGATGGATGATGTCTTTGAATATCTACCGTTGGATTCGGAGATTAGTTGTTCCTTTTTTTTTTTAGTTTGTACGCACTCATGTCTAAGAGAATTTAAATAGAGAAGACAGTGCCATGAAATCGTATTATTAGTTTTTATTACAAGTGAATACGCATTCAGAGAAACGGCACAAGTCTTAAGGTATAAGTGAACCGATGGGTCCGGACATCCTCTGTCGGGACTTATACGTTCGCTTGCTCGGCTTCTACGTCATACAAGGCCTCCACGTATGTATATACGTATATATATATTTCATAATGAAAAAAAAAATACATGTAGGAGAATCAACGGCTCATGTAACGGAAAGCTAGAGGCTTTGTGTTACAATAGAATAGGGTTTTGGAATTGGTGCATATAGGTATCCTAAAACTTTTAAAACATTTGATTTTGTATTTGAATATAGATTTTACTTCTAAATTTCATATTAAAAAAAAAAATACGAGAGTTTTATAATTAAAATATTTCTATTTTTTAAAAAAAGATGATTTTGTGAATTAAAAAGGAATTGAATAATTTTCAATAAATATAAAATAACTTTTTAGATTATATGAATACTGAACCATGAAATCATACAATCCAATTAATCGAATAAATTTTTATCTAAAAATCTAAATTATTAATTCAAATAATTGAGATGGCTTTTTCCAATTGAGTGGAGCTTCAAGATAAAACTGCGGGCATTGTTGATGCGACATCGACCGCCTCATAAAAAATAAAATAAAAATACAGAAGAAGCCACAAAATCCCCAATCATTTCACCTCTCTTTGCGTAGCCATTCCCTTTTACGCTAAGAAAAGAGAGCAACTAGCTTTGTCCATTTCTTGAAAACCAATGGTATCCATCTAAAAATTTCGATATTTTTTTTCAAACGGTACCATTCAAAATTATTAAACGGTATGTTATTTATAGAACCGAATTTTTCAAAACCGAAACAAACCGAATTTTATAAAATTTCCGAAAAACCAATTTTTTTTTAAGAAAATCTATTTTTTTTAAACAAAAAACAAAACTGAACCGTACCAAAAGCAAAATCAAAACGAACTGAACCGAATAATATATGTTAGTAATTTGGTACAAATTTAAAATACCTAATAAATCGTTCCTGAACCGAACCGCTAAAATTCCGAATCGAATCCCAAAACATCCGCATCTACTTTCAAGTAGACATAATATATTATTACATGATAATCTTTCTTTATATATGAATCCATATATTCACATAGACAACGCTATTTAGAGTTCCTTTAAAAAAAAAAACTAAGATATATTTATACACACACGATTGGTATATCCCATAAAGACCATGCATATATAGAATCACTACATTTATAGGAATGAATCTATATGTAAAAATTGAAGAATCTTTTCGACGTCGAATATGAATATTTTTTACCGGATCAATAGCAAATTATAAACCAATCTTATAACTTAATCGACAAGAATTGTTCTCTCCATGTTAGGTTTTAATGGTACATTTGTCACATCCACACACCCAAAGACCAACAAGGCATATAGGAAGTGAGATACATATAGACACACATGTATATGAACAATGGGACAAATTCTAAACGCACAATTATTTGCATGATGAAAGTGAATGGTCCTCTTATTGTGGAAGTTAAATTGGAAAGGACAAGTTTGAAAGCAAGCCAAATGACTAATTTAAAGTCATACTTCAATTATTTTATTTAATTAGTCCTGCCTTTTTTTTAATCCATGATGATAGCATTATACACGTATCTAGGAAAATCTTTTCTAATCTTTTCTGATTGATTTAATCTTATGTAATCTTTCCTAAAATCTCTCCTCTCTAATTGTATATACTTCTCGTAATTATCATTTGTGAATCAATAAGATTTATTTTCAAAACCCTAAAGCTCCATCATGGTATCAGAGCTCTCCTAAGTCTAACGACTCCGATCAGCCACCTTTTCTTTTCCGGCAACACTCACCGCCGAAGCTTCCCCTCTTTGCTCTCCATCGGCCACCACTAGCCTCTCTTGGCTATCTCTCTCACCGTTACCCGTCTGATCTATTTCTGCATCCTTCTCTGCTGGAATGGCTGCCACCGTGCCGTCCTCCTCCTCGACTGGTGTTCCGACCGATACGGTCACACCCTATGGCCCTGACAGTCCTCTTATCAACATTAACGTCTCCAATGTTGAAAAGCTAACTGCTGTCAATTACCGCACATGGAGTATTCAATTTCTTGCCTTACTCGAGGGTTATAACCTCGAGAGCTTCCTTGATTCGGCTCTCACTCCGGCTGCCACCGTCATCACCGACAATGTTGTTTCTCCCAATCCGACCTACAAGTCGTGGTATCGCCAAGACCGACTTGTCTTTTCCGCGTTGCTTGGATCTCTCTCTAACTCGTGCCAAGCACTTGTGGCATCGGCTACTTCGTCCGCTGCTGTGTGGTCTATTCTCGTCTCCACCTATGGTCGCTCAAGCCGAGGCCACGTTAAACTGATCAAAGATCTTATGCGTCGCCACACCAAAGGAACGAAGACGATCGATGAGTACATGTACTTCTACAAAGTGAAAGCCGATGAGCTTGCACTTCTTGGCAAACCGATGGACCACGAAGATCTCGTGGATCTCATCCTTGGTGGTCTTGGCGATGAATATAAACCCGTCAAAGACATTGTTCATGCTCGGGACACGACCATATCGTTTGTTGAACTCCATGAGAAGCTTCTCACACATGATATCGACCTTGTCACAACCGTTCCCCTATTGGAGACGCCAATATCGGCTCATGTGGCACATCATGGCTCTCGGCCGTCTCACGGTGCTCGAGGTCCTTGGAGGGGATCTGGATCTCGGCCCTCTCAGCCACCCCGTGGACAGCACCAACGCTCGCCAAGTTCCTCACACCGAGGATCATTCCCGAGATCGCAAGGCCGTGGATACCTCGGCAAGTGTCAACTCTGTGGCGTCCAAGGCCATAGCGCACGGTATTGTCGGCTCCTCCCTTCCTCCGACTCTCGCCACAACGTGGATTACGGATCCACCATGAGCCATCAGCCTTGGCAACCGTTGGCCAACACTGCTGCCGTCGCACCTTCCTCGCCTCCATCATGGCTGCTTGATACGGGAGCTTCTCATCACGTTACAACCGATCTTGCCAACCTCTCACTTCACTCTCCATATCACGGTGGTGATGAAGTGATCATTGGTGATGGTTCGGGGCTTGCTATCACGCACACTGGTTCTTCATCCCTTCCCTCTCGCTCTCACCCTATTTCGCTACAGAACGTCTTATGTGTTCCATCCATGCACAAAAATCTCATATCAATCCATCAACTATGTCTATCTAATAATGTTTCGGTGGAATTTTTTTGTCGTTTCTTTCAGGTGAAGGATCTAACCACGGGGGCAATAGTGGCAACCGGGCAACTTAATAATGGTGTGTATGAATGGCCGGCACCTTCTTCTTCGCTTTTCCACTTCAATAAGCCCTCGCCTCTTGCACTTTCCAGTGTCAAGACCTCTCTTTCCGAGTGGCACTCTAGGCTAGGTCACCCTTCTAAAGATGTTCTTCGTTCTATTATTTCACGTTTTTCTCTTCCTTTGTCGGAGGTTTCGAGTCGGTCATTGTCTTGTGAGTCATGTTCCATTAATAAAAGTCATAAGCTTCCGTTTTCGATTTCATCTATTGTCTCCTCTCGTCCACTAGAAATTATTTACTCCGACGTTTGGACATCTCCAATACTGTCGTTCGATGGATTCAAATATTATGTTGTTTTCGTCGACCATTTCACTCGTTACACATGGCTTTATCCGATGCGTCAAAAATCTCAAGTCTCTCATATTTTTCCTCGGTTTAAAGCTCTTGTTGAAAATCATCTCCAAACAAAAATCGTCACTCTTTACTCTGACAACGGTGGAGAATTCATAGCCCTCAAGGATTTTTTATCCTCTCATGGAATTTCTCACCTCACCTCTCCACCTCACACTCCGGAACATAACGGTATTTCCGAACGGAAACACCGACATATTGTTGAAACCGGACTCACGCTTCTTTCTCGTGCCTCAATTCCTTCGGAGTTTTGGACCTTTGCCTTTCCTACTGCGGTATACTTGATTAACCGCCTCATTACGCCGGTACTCCGAGACCGCTCTCCTTTTGAACTCCTCTTCGGCAAAATACCGAACTACGCCAAGCTTCGCTCCTTCGGATGTCTTTGCTATCCTTGGCTCCGCCCTTATTCTCGTCACAAACTTCAACCCCGGTCTGCTCCTTGTGTCTTTGTTGGGTATTCACTAACCCAAAGTGCTTTCATTTGCTTCCATGTCGCCACCTCTCGCGTCTATGTTTCCCGTCATGTCGAGTTTTTAGAATCCGAATTCCCATTCCCTCGGTTAATCTCGGCTTCTCGGTCTTCCTCTTCATCTGTGTCTCCCGTCTCTTCCTCCTCTTCTTTCACGTCTCTTATCCCTGTTTGGCCATCACCATATACACCGCCGCCCGCTACAGCTCCCGTCGAAGCTCCTTCGCCGGTTGGAAGCACAAACACCGCGGCACCCAGTCACAGCACAGCCGAGCCCCATCCCACTGAACCTTCCTCCTCCACTAACTTGGATACCACATCTCAAACCTTGCCCGTAACCACACACGACACTCCACTTACCGAGACCTCGACCCTTGATGACCATACTCAAAACATACATCCAATGATAACCCGATCCAAAAACCAAATATCCAAACCGAATCCCAAACACACTCTTACTCTCACTACCAAACCGAAACCTACACCTACATCCCTCACTCATGCCGAAGCCTCGGAACCTACGTGCGTGTCGCAAGCTCTGAAAGATCCCAAGTGGCGATGTGCGATGACTGATGAGTTCAATGCTTTACTTCGGAACGGCACTTGGACTCTTGTTCCACCGGATCCGTCGTACAATGTTGTCGGTTGTAAATGGGTTTTCCGTACTAAGTATCTCTCTGATGGCTCTATTGATAGGTACAAAGCTCGACTTGTGGCGAAGGGCTTTCATCAAAGACCCGGTATTGACTTTACCGACACGTTCAGTCCCGTCGTCAAGCACACCACGGTTCGTGTTGTCTTGAGCATTGCCGTCACTCGTGGTTGGTGTCTTCGTCAACTAGATGTCAATAATGCGTTTCTTCAAGGAACGCTACATGAAGACGTCTATGTTGCTCAACCTCCGGGCGTCCTTCTCATGTTTGCAAGCTCCATAAAGCTCTTTACGGTCTCAAACAAGCTCCTCGTGCATGGTACAATGAGCTTTGTCGCTTTCTCCTAGACTCCGGGTTTGTCAACTCTCTCTCCGACACGTCATTATTTATCTTCAATCGGGAGAATACCATCATCTATCTTCTTGTTTATGTTGATGACATTGTTATCACGGGTAATGACGCCAAAGAAGTGCAACGGTTCATTGACTTGTTGGCGGGACGGTTCTCGTTGAAGGATCTTGGCTCGTTGGCTTTCTTTCTTGGCGTTCAAGTAACACGTACAGCCCGAGGACTCCTTCTTACTCAATCCCGCTATGTGTCGGATGTCCTACAACGGCATAATATGGCTGCGGCGAAACCGGTTCCGACACCGCTACCCTCAACGTCGGCTCTTCATCTTAACTCCGGCGTTCCTCTTGACGATCCAACCGAATATCGTCAAGTGTTGGGCAGCCTTCAATATCTCCTCTTCACTCGACCGGATATTGCCTTTGTTGTCAATAAACTATCGCAGTACATGCACCGTCCAACCACCGATCATTGGCAAGCTCTAAAGCGGGTACTTCGTTATCTCAGTGGATCTCGGTCTCTCGGTATCTTTCTCTCCAGCACATCCTCTCCCATTCTTCATGCCTTTTCGGATGCAGATTGGGGAGGTAATCGTGATGATTTTACTTCCACCGGTGCTTTCATTGTTTATCTTGGCAAGAACCCGATCTCATGGTCATCGAAGAAACAACGGTTTGCGGCGAAGTCATCTACCGAAGCCGAGTACAAATCTGTCTCCTCCACTGCCTCTGAAGTCCAATGGATTCTATCTCTTCTCTCCGAGCTTGGAATTCCAATACCCGACATGCCGGTGATTTACTGTGATAATATTGGTGCTACCTATCTCTCGGCGAATCCGGTATTTCATTCACGCATGAAGCACATTGCTATCGATTATCACTACATCCGAGGTCTCGTACAAGCCAAGAAACTCCGTGTAGCTCACGTCTCCTCATCTGATCAGCTCGCAGACACTCTCACAAAGCCACTTCCCCGACAACGTTTCGACCTTCTTCGTACCAAGATCGGCCTTGCTTCTGAGACCGATCTTGCGGGGGCATGATAGCATTATACACGTATCTAGGAAAATCTTTTCTAATCTTTTCTGATTGATTTAATCTTATGTAATCTTTCCTAAAATCTCTCCTCTCTAATTGTATATACTTCTCGTAATTATCATTTGTGAATCAATAAGATTTATTTTCAAAACCCTAAAGCTCCATCACATGAAAAAGCCAACGACCCGTAACATGAGGTGGTTAATATGTTGAGAAAAATTTAAAAACAAATTGATTGAAACTGAAACGGATATAATCGAGAGAAAAAAATTAATGAAAACGAGAAAATAAACATAACTAATCGAAAATATTAACTAAAACCCGAAATCTATTTGTAAATCTCGTTCTCCTCTCTTTGCTTGTGCTTTTCTAAAAAATGATAAGCAGCTTCATGATGAGATTTCTTGCTTTAGACCAAACTTTTTATTGCATTATGATTTCATTTCATTAGCAATCAAAGCGGGGGAAAGAAACTATGCTTTTGGACATTTTTGCATTGTTGGGTTCTTGAAAGTCACTTTTGGCTTATTTTCAACTTTTTCCTGTAATACTTTTTATTTCTTTTTATTTTCTCAACTTTCTATCAATAAACTAGCGTGTGTGTATATATATATATATATCAAATGAGACAAAACCCTAAATACTATGAAGTGAACAATCTTTTTTTTTTTTTTTGACAAAATAACTGGTTTCTAGGTTACTACAAAACGTGTTCAATAATTTTAGGAATTGATCATGTCCGGATCGGAGATAACTCTTCCGAGTTTTTCCCGAACGTTAGGAAGTAGAATAGATTTAGTTTAACGTTATCTAATTGGTTATAGTGTTGGCAACATCTTGTGAAAGAGATTTTGTTGCGAAGCTTCTGGAATTTTCTGCAAGTGAGAATATCGACGACTGATCTCTGTTCTTTTTTTGCTGTATGAAACCAACAAGAAACGTTCGGAAACGAGAAAAATAAAACACAAAGGATAAAATTTCAAGTGGATGAGGGCAGGTGGGTCCATATAAAGCTGAGAAATCCCATGCTTAAAAAAACGGTTCACACGATCTCCATTAGCCATACTAAAAATTTGGACCATTTTTACGGTGCCATTATGCAAAATCGCGCTTATTTTTCTATATTGTTTGGGTTTTATTCAGATCTATAAATATCTTAACTTTTTAAAATATGTACAATAAATATATCAATTTTTAATTTGAAAATATAATGTCCAAAATAGGGGTGGACACATATCGGATATCTGTGATTTTTTAGATATCCGTATCCGTATCCGATCCGCACAAATACTCGATTTTATTATCCGTATCTGATCCGTAAATATCAAGGATACTCTCAAATATCCGTATCCGATATAAAAATTATAAAAATTAAAATTAAAATTAAATAATAATTTTAAATATAAATAAATTATATAGATCATTTATATTCAAAATTTAAATTTTAAAATTTAAATATTTAAAATTAATTTAAATATAAATATAATCATAATGTATCATATACAAATGTATTCGAAATTTAAAATTCAAAAAATTAAACATAATAAATCTTAATATTCAAAAAATTAAACATTATAAATCTCAATTATATAAAATATTTCTTAAATATATCTACAAAACATGTAAATATAAATATTTTAAATGTCTATACCAAATTATTCTTATATTTAACAATATTATTAATTAGTACGGATCGGATCGGATATGTCGGATAATTCGAATTTGATATCCGTATCCGACAAATATTTCAAAATAAATATTCATATCCGATCCGTATATTCCGGATATACGAATTTTCGGTTCGAATACGAATCGGATAACGGATCGGTTCGGGTTTTTCGGAAATTATGCCCACCCCTAGCCTAAAATGTTAAAATGTGTCGAATTAATATCTTGACTCTTGAAATTGAAGTTGAGAACCAAGATCCTTATACATTTGTTAAAAAAATGACTAGATCCATTTGAGTTTTGGTTGGAAAATTACTCTCGATTTCAGAAATTTAGTTATTAATTTGGAACAATTTCAAGAGTTAATTTGATATGTTTTAGCATTTGAAATATTAAATTGCTAAATTAAAAATTAATATATTTATTGATACATATTCATATTTATCTCACATCTCATGGGCTGTGATGGGCCTGTAAGAAGCCCAAACGTGACTGGCCCATTATACCATTGAACGAACAAAATTCCCAAACTACATTTTTTGTGTGATCATTTCTTGCATCTTCTTTATATATATGTACGGAGAAAAAGATCAACTTGTTGCTCTTCATTTCTCGTACCTTGCCGGACTTGGTAATCTCTTCATTTCTCGTACCTTGTCGGACTTAACCTCTTCATTACTCATCTTGGATTCACTTGTCTTTTTGGTTGTTCCTTTACCCAGTCTCAGTCATGAACCAGAGATTCAGTTTTATCCTTCTTCTTAGAGAATCTCTCGGTTGACACAGTCAACAGCTTATTGAGTGACATATTTTCTCCTCTGATCGTTCTCTTCGCTTCGTATCTGTGCTTGATCCGGCTATCGAGCTTGTACCCGAGAAATGCAGGGAAAGCCAGAAGCTCTTCCACTTCCCGACCCATTTCCTCGATCAAATACCCCATCTTCTCCTCCAAAGAACAGTGTGTATACTGCAGAACCGGAGGGTGTTTCTTGCTCATTGCAAGAATGTCTGCAAGTGATAGCCCGTAAGTCAAGTACAGCCCTATTACCCTCTGCATGTTGTCGCTGCTCGTTCTGGTCACAGCTCCCATTGCATGGGCCAGCTCCTTTGTCCTGTGCTCATACCCGATCTTTACGAGAAACCCGAGTTTTTGCGAGAGATTATCTTCTGAGAGAGCTAGAAATAACGGAGCTTTACTCAGGAACTTGAATATTTCGAGGGAATCCAAGCCACATTGCTTCAGAAACCCTATCCTCGGTCGAAGTTTTCTCTCCTTACTGGTGCTGATAACGTTAGGGAACACATGGATGATCTTAAACACTTGATCACTTGTCAAGCCGGCGAAAGACTTGAGGAACTCAACATGGCTATCCATATGCTCCACACTGTAACTCAAAATGGCGGGGAGCCGATGTAGAACGGTTCCAGTGGCATGATCGTCTTCCCCGCTCAGGTTCCTAAGAAAACTTACTCGAGGAACTAATTGGCCATCCAAGTCGAAGTTGAGAATGGCGGGTCGCCTCACGATTATACCGATCCCACCGAAAGGTTCGAAGAAACTGATCACTCTCTCGATGTCTTCAACTGATCTTTGACACAGCAGTTTAGTTAGATTGACCTTTTCCAATACATGTGAGATCTTCTCTTTGGGAATTCCATGGCGGATAAGCAACCTTACCTTCTGATTGAAACCAACCAAGAATGATGGGTCTGCCACAGAGAAGAGACGCTCCACAAGGTCAGGCTCAAGCTTTGCATCCAATTCGTCAACTAGAAACCTAATCACTGGATCAATTTCCTCCGAAGTTAACAACTTGGGACACTTTGCAATCAGAAACTGAAGCTTCAAGTCGTTAATTTCCAGAGACTGGAAAGAGAGAACACGGCCACGGATCTTATCCAAAGACGTGAACTTTAACGAATGCAGTGCTTTGATCCAACACGAGCTTCCGTTTAAGCGGTCCGATCCAGGTAGCTTCTCAATCCCTTGTAAATTGGGTAATGTTTCCATCGATCGTGCACTTTGTGAT